AAACACAATATCTATAATAAAATTCTGTTTTGTATTTCATATTTATAGCAGAGCACATAAAAGTATTTTGTATTTCGTATTTCAAATCAAAAAATTGAAAATATTTTGTAATTTAAATATATAATAAGATTGATTGTCAAAATGCTTACAATTTATCAGTAAATTAATAGTCTCATTTGAAAGAGGGAACATTTTTTAACATTGTAAAAAAATATGAGCCTCATATATTTATATAGATTCAGTAAAGATTTAAAAGAAAGGTAACATTTGGGGCATTTTAACAAAATGTGTACCTAATATGAGCCGCGTATATGTCTTCTCTTTTTATATACAAAAATATTATATATATAATCATACAAAAATAATATCATATTAAAAATATGAAAAGTGAAAATCATCCAACGTTACTTTTATAAGTTTATAATTTTATTACACAAACATATTGATGTAGAATCATTTAAAAAAAGCTATTTAGCAACTTAAACCTGAATACCTACGTTAACTTCTTCTTAAAACTACGCTTGTTGATCTACTTGTTTGGACAAGTAAAAGGACCTTTATAATTGAGGGAATGGGCGGAATAAAGGCCTAATCACACAAAATCTTGATAATAAAAATTAAAATAACTTGCTACTTTTTTATTAGACATAAATGGATACAATATTAAATAAATTTATGTAATGTCTTTAAGAAGTTACAGTTATATAAATCTTCTCTATTACGATCAATTAATTCAATATTACATGAAAAAACTAATTGCCGGAAAAAGGGCTTAAGTAGAATTGTGCCTTTATTCCGCCCATCCCCTTAATTTTTAGTTAATTTCACACAATCTTCATGAACATATTTGTGATAAATGTCACTCACGTACGTGCTCGGACATGGCCCACATTGGTATCACCATACAAAAAGTTTTTTTCCATTAATTATAAACAAAACGTCGTGACAAAAGTATAAACTAAATATAATGTTGTAAAATATGAATATAGACCTACAATAATATGAACTAATAACTACATTTTTATAATTATAGAAAGCAATAACTTACTTACGGAATATTACATCACAATCACGACGTATCAGTATTTCCTGTTTTTACGCAAACAGAATAAATAATATGATTTGTGAATCGATGCAGTTGAATCATATGGATTGCCTGCTCGAATTACTACTGTCATCTGTTAAATTAATCATATAATATTATATATAACAATGAGTGGTTCACTTTGGGAAACGGCCTAAATTGGGCCCTTATAAATACATGCCCTTTTAAATACATGCCCAGCTCTGAATATAAATTATAAACAATATCATATATTTAGCGAATTTCTAAGGATGGGATATTAATCCTGGACACACGCGAGCAATGAAGAATTTAATATGTCATTAGACTTTTTCTTGAGGCAGTTCTAAGAGGAATTAAGAATAATACGATCGTACTTAACGTCCAAAAAAAAACTACGGGAAACAATTTTTTCTTGTTCTTATGCTTGAAAAAAAGTTATTTTTGTGGAACAGTGTTATAGTAGTTCGTATTGTAATTTTGCAATAATACTAAGTATGAAAAAGATACGTACGTTGCATATCCTCTTTCGTGATATGTTGCTCTTCGGGGAAAGATACTTTATGCCTTGCTTCGTATTTCATCATTTGTATCACTTTACGGAACCGACTAAATTCGGAACCTCTTTTTCAGGGGATTATGCCAATAGGATATAAATATAACATGTCATTAATTACGTGAAGTAACAAAAGAAATTTTAAGAAAACTTATCAATTGTTTAGTAATTTATATACTATATTAGTTTAATTTACAATTGAAGTAATTTTTTCAGAGATGAGTACCAATCTTATACATTTTTATATAGTAATTCTTTCTTTGCAGTCTACGGAATTCTTCAACGATTTGCAGTTATTTCTTGGTTAAAAAAAATTTAAATTCAGGTTGAAAAATATATAAAAAGAGAGGATTATATTAAATAAAGATCGAATTATACATAAAAAATACAGGATCAAAACTACAAATGCGTGCGAATTTTTTTAAATTGGTTTTCAAGTTGTTAGAAGAATATTATGAAATTCTGCGAAATTCCGTTTTTCACACTGCAGAAAAATCATTTCGTTTCCACGCAAAATTCCTGGAAGGTTCACTTTATATATTTTTCCGGGCCACATACAGTCAACCATTTTATTTTCTCTTATATTCTCCGCTTAAATTACACTTTTAAGCGCACAAGCCAAGTCTAACTTGACTTTCTTTTTCTCGAATATTGATTCCAGCTTCAACAAATTGTTGCTACAAAAAGAGGAGCTCGAGCAGAAGCATCTGCACCTGTTGCAAATTGTTGAAAGCGAGAAAACGGCTAAGTGGCAGTACACCCAACAATGCGAGGAATTGGCGTCGGAAATAAAAAAACTCCGAGCAGAGGTTAGTCATATCAGCATATTTTTATATAATATATATGTATTATATTCAGTTTTTTTTTACGAGTGAATATATATATTTTATGATACTTTTTTCCGGTAATTTTGATTCGTGCTGCGCGCGCTTTTTTTATTTCAACTTTTGTAATATTTTCTGTGACATTTTACTATTTAATTAATAAAATCATTTTGTAATGAATCGCGTCAATTCTTGGAAAATTTCCGGGTGGACTTCCGAAAACCTGAAAGCTCTGATTTTCTTATCAATTTGCAACTATATTTTAGTGCGCTGATTACGAATATAATCATGAAAATTGCCGATAAGGTCATTTTCAAGGTCAAATATTATATTAAATTACATTTTTCATATTTTTTTACATTTAACATTGAAAGTGATCGACCCTCCCCCCTGCTTAGAGGTGTGCGACTTTCTTCCATTCTTGGGGCTCTTATTAATTCTACCTCTTCTCCTCTGTCTGGGGGCGCGCAACTTAATTATTATAGAACTGTATTTTGATATGTTGATAACGTACTCGTATATAAAACCATTGGTGATATAAGTCATTTTTAATATCAAATGTGGAAAAATGTCAAAAAAATCGGTTTTTCGAAATTTGACTTGGAAAATGACATTGTCGGAAATTTTAATGGTCATATTCGTAATCAGCACACTAAAATACAGTTGTATACCAATTGACAAGAAAATCGGAGCTTTCGGATTTTCGAAAATTTATCCAAATTTCCTATACATATATTGCACAAGGAATTCTGCAAATTTTATTTTTATTTTATTAATATTAATACTTCAAAGATTATAATATAGCGCATGCGGATAAAATTTTAGTAGATAAAATTTTTATTCGAAAAATAATTAAAAGATTTCTTTTTTAATATTATATTTTATATATATAATTTATTACTATGTGTGTATGTAACTGTTTTTAAAGTTCAATTATTTTCGCATTATAATGGCACACAAACTAATTAAATTGTCTGTTATACATTTCGTAATTCAATTTTAATTTCTACATGGAAAACAAATTTTTATTAAAGTATTTAAAAATTTAGATAAATACAGATCTGAAAATAATTTGTTGGAGTATAAAAAAATTATATAGGATAGTCAAGTGTAATAATGCTATAAAAAGTTTTGACATTTTGACAATCAGCTTGATCGTCTACATAATTATTTTGGCGGTTTAACATTATTTTAATTTTGATCTATGTATTTCGTTAAATTTTTAATTTCTCAACAATAATTTTTAAAACCCATTCTTTCCGTAATAATAAATATCGAAGTAACTCCCGGAACATTTTTGAAATTAAAATTTTATGCGTTAACTCGAGTAGCGTCACTAATCTTAACCCCTTCATTAATTTCATTTAGAATAACTACGGTATATACGACGCGCGAGGATTTACGCCATACAAGTCAGAAAAAAGAGGGAGTGGAAGTAATTTTCTCGCAATTACTCTTTTTCATGCTCTTTTATGTTATGTATTAATATTATGTTATAATTTCAATTTTTTACTATTAATATTAATAAAATTATCGTGAGTTGAATCGATTTGTCAGTCTAATAAGTAGCGTCATCATAAATTACAATCTACATAAAATGATTACTGTAAGACATGCAAAAGACTTAGTGGTTATTTCGTGATATATGAGTGTACAGGAATAGTAAAGTATGTTGTAACAAAATACAAGTGCTTTGCTCTTGTATTCTTTGTTTAATTTGTTGTCTTGTATGTCCTACCTATTTGGGACATGCAGCAGTTTTAGCAAGCGGTATTTATGCCCAAAGTATACAAAGTGCGTAGATTGGATTCAGTATATTAAATGCAATATAAATGCATTACATAAAATATGTACCTAATGTCATAACACTCGTAATATATGTAAAAGATTGTAATCATTACTTTTATATTATTACTTCATGTTTATCATTTTTATTTTTTAATAAAACTTGGCAAACACATTTTATAAGTTATTAAGTTATTATGTTATGTCTTATTTATAAGTATTATTTGTAAATTTTTTATGAGCTATACATTTTCTCTCTTCTACCCGCTCTATGAGTAGCCTATCTCTATGGGATATACGTGTATGTATACAGCGAAAATGCAAAACTGATAAAAAAGAATTGAAACATCCAAAAAGTTTTAAATATATTAAAATTTAGCTCGTAGCTCTTATTATTTATTATGTTTATTTAAAAGAGTTTCGAAAAATTTGTTTTTTAAACAAAAAATAAGTATTGTATTGTAGATTTCTTTTTTTTTTTTCATAGTAGTAGACAGTTTTACAAAGTTTTTACTGGTATAGTTTATTTATCTTAAAAACATAATAAATAATTAATAAATTAAGTTTTTGTTAGATGCGACGTATATACCGGAGTTACCCCATTTATGGATGTCTAAGTTTGATAATTAAGATAATAACATATAAAACTAATAAAGTTATTATGTTGTAGGAGAACTGATAATATTTTATTCAAGTGCTTCTTCAACATTTAAATTTTGTTTAAGCATTTCCATTTGGTTTATTGAAGAAATTACATTTAAAATCGTTAAAAGCAATTTATTTAAGAAATACGAGAAGATGTTTGCTTGGAATCATTTTTTATATGATATTACGGATTTCGCAACGAGAGATTCTCATTACAGCTGTGTGCCCTGAAAAAAGAGCTAAGGCCTTCTGTAATGCCGATATACGCCAGTCGACCGGCGGTTCAAAGAACTATGTCCCAAGGTACCGGAAGTTTGTACAGCACATTCCATTCATACAATGTCGGTGCTCACAGTTCCGGCGGCTTCGCTCCCGGATTACGCGATATCTCGGAAGGCTCTATCGAAATGCAAAAAGTTAAGAAGGTTCAGAGCTTTTTCAGGGGTTGGCTGTGCCGACGACGTTGGAAGCAAATTGTTGAACAGTACATCAAGAGCCCGCATGCCGAGAGCATGCGCAAACGGAACAGGTAATTGTTGCTGCGTTATCGCATAAAACCAATGGTGTCCAACTAGTTTGCGCATTTCGCTTTTCCATTAATGTAACTCCCGCTTGTCATGTCACCGCGCTTGTCATTTCATAGTCACGTTTTGCGCGGCTGTACGGAAATAAACGTCATAAGTGAGCTTGAATATAATTTTCAAAAAAAGGCTAAAAAATGTTGAATAGTGTAGGTTTTTTTTATTAAATAAAATTATGTACTCTAATTACTATGCATATAATAACTTCAGTAATAACTTATATATTATTTTTTGTTCCGCAACTGAATAAAATTTATTATTTTCTCGTCTGCCGAGAGATTTTCGCTTAATCACACCGTTCCTATATTTTATTTATTTGCGATGTAATGACTATGTAAAGTCGACAGTTATTGGTTTTATTTAATTTGCACTGGTATTGAACGCAAATCCTACTATTTCAGCCTGGTATTCCAAATGGTGGAGGCCGAGGAGGAGTATACGGAGCAGATGGAGATTTTAGTAAGCTGTTTTCTGAGGCCTTTCAAGATGGCTGCCAGTTCAAAGAAACCCCCATGTAGTCACGAGGATGTGAATAGCATATTTTTGAATAGCGAAACCGTGCTGTTTCTCCATCAAATCTTCCTGAAGGGTCTCACCTCGCGTATGGAGAGCTGGCCCACTTTAGTTTTAGGTATGGATATATTTAAAATTATTAATATTATATATTAATATTATATATTTAAAATTAAGTAATATAAATCGATATATTGGATAACAAATAGAAATGTGCGATTTTTAATATGTCGCAAAACGGTGCGATTTATTTTTCTTGTTTGCGATATATTGAATTTTTAATCACAAAATTGCATACGATTTTAAATTTCATGTGATTAAGTTTACACGCGATTTAAAATTGTAAATGCAGCTGAAAATCATTTTTGTAATATTTATTCATTAAATATTTATACATATAGAAAAATGAAAAATAAAAATTTTATCTCTTTATTAATTATCTCATTACATGATTTATATACACGGAAAGAACGGTTTTGCTAAAATATTAAAAAATTTAGCTGAATATAAATTTGAAAATAATTTTTGTTGGATTATCAAAATAATTATGAATTGTAATTATGTGTATGTAGGTATATATACGTATTATATTCACTGTGATTCTTAAGAAAAATCGCAATTGCGATATACAATTTTGTAAATCTCATAAAAAAATGTTACCACAACCGTGATAAATAATAATAATTTTCACCCATCACACTTGGTTGTGATGACTGTAAGATGGACATATCTTTACAGCCATTGAGCATGCAAATCTTACGGTTACCACAATCGTACTATAATTCTTATAATCAAAAAATATATTAATGGGCGACTTTTTGGCCGTGGCAACCGTAGCTGTTTTTTTCCGGTGCTCTAATGACAAATCCATGTCTGTAAAGGCGAATCGGAGCGACGCAAAAATTTCACGATTTTAAGTATCTAAACATTTTTCTTTCTAGCGATTAATTTATGAGAGTATATTATCTTACGTAAGAAAGAATAATGTGGATGGAGGTTGTATACCGATCAATCACGGCGTATTGTGAATACACGCAGGTGACTTGTTCGACATGTTGCTACCGATGTTATCCATATATCAAGAGTACGTGAGAAACCACCACTATAGCCTTCAAGTATTGACTGAGTGCAAGCAATCGTCACCGTTCGTGGCGTTGCTCAATAGGTTGGAGAACAAGACTGCCTGCCACGGACGATCCTTGGAGACCTTTCTAACATATCCCATGCATCAGGTAAGATTGCTACATGTTGATAAAATCGATGCAATTGTCGTACGTGAAACATAGAAGCTCGACACAAATGTTTCGGAAAATTCAATGGTATCGCTTTATATTATTATCGTTATGAAGGAAAGAGAAAGGAAATGGATG